AAAAAAATCTCATTTCATGAGCTCAGAATTACTTCATTTGGACAGAGGAAAATGTAAAATTAAGTATATTCAGCACTTTCTAAAATTAAGAAAAATATATTTATATTCATAAAAATTCATTTATCTGTAAAGCCTGTGAGCTTGGGAACCGCCAGGTTCTAGTGCAAGGTCTTCCAGAGAGAAGCTGTAATGGCTGAGCGACCAAATTCTTTCTATACTGGTATTTGAGAAAGTATAATATTTTGGGAGAAGGCTTAAAATCCCACATTTTGCAGGAGGGAAAACTGCTCTTCCAGCAATGTAAATGTTTTTTAAACAATAGGTGCTAGCAATTGCTGAGGGGCCACAGAATGCTAGCATGAAGCCCAGGGGAAAGGATTAGCGGACAAGTAAGAAGAGCAAAAGCTGAGAACAAATTCATGCAATGCTCTGATTTTTTACGCAGGTAGATCAACGTGTGCAGGGAGAGGTGATGTCCCTAGGGTACATTCATTTCTTCATTACTTTTTCGGGAGCTCTGGCTGCCATCTTTCCACAGATTCTTGCGTCCGGGATTTATTCTAAGTTTCTGAACTCCTGTTCAGTTTTACACAGTTGCCGTCTGGCTGTACTCATTTCAAAAGCCAGTTTCAATCACTCAGTAGACTGAGTGCTTTCAGTTTGAAGAGGCAGGAAACAACGTTATCTTGTGAGGTGGGTTCATTCGGCCTGGACTGATTTACAACATTAGTTCTCCCATTTAACCAATTAGACAAATCTCATTTTCAAGCTAGTTTGTCATATAACATTTGCTGTTCAGCTACACAGTGCAGCCCTTTATTGCTTATACGAAAGTGTGAATTAAATCAGTCTGATATCCCTGGAACATGGCAACACTGGCGTTGTCAGATCTTTGAATGAGTACAAATTTAAACTGCATCTGCTTTCAGAGTCTGGATTAAATTCATTACTGACGATAAACCTATGTGGAACTTGCAATCTCCAGTACAACCAGACGCTAATAAAGCAGGTAAAATAAATTTGGTCATGGCAATCTGTAAAGTATTAGTACTCAGAGATGCTGGAGAAATGCTTATACTAAATGCATTTAAAGCGTTTCTTCCAAAAATCATCGCGCTTTCAGAAAGCCAAACTCATCAACTGGTTTAGCACTTCTGTAAGCCAATTCCCATTCCGAGAGGATGAAATCAGTTGCAGCTCCACAAGCATTCACAGCTCGCACAGAGCTGGGCAAGGGCCTCCTCTCTGGGTTCCCAACAGGTTGCTCTCCCCAAATACTCAGATTCTCAGCAGCACTGATTTTTCTGTTGGCTTGACACATTTCCTGCACACAGGATCCTCCTGGGGCCCAACACTTCATCCAGTCCCCCTAGGGTTGTAGGACATGGGCTGATCACACATTCCCCTGCAGAAGTGAGTTACGCTGCTGCCTTGGGACAGCAGCACACCTGGAGGTCCCTGCTTTCCATAACTATCTGTCAATACCACAGGAGATGTTCCTGTATTGCTTATCTTTATTTCACATGTTGAAGGTCTTCCTCAATGCCATTCCACCAACACATTCTTTTTTTAAGATCAAAGGAAAGCCAAACGCAATACAGAAGTCAGGCTGTAGCCACCTCCATGCAATGCATTGCAAAGACGAAGCATTTAAATGGCCCTTTCTGGACACAGGTTGGTTCTTAGATTACTCAGCATCTTTACAGTGCAACTTTCTTTACGCAGCAGTTCTAAATAGGTTTTCTCTCAGGGTGCAACTTACCTCTCTGCCGAGGAACAATAGAAAGGCTATACGTTAATTCAGCCTGATCTCAGAGTATAAAGGTCTATGCTGGCCTACAATTCAACCCAAAATCTGTTGATCTTCTATATATCCATGTTCTGCATCTAAACAATAGTTTTGTTAATCTCCTGTCATTTTGCATTCTTATTGCACATGCTTAACAAATTACCAGTGTTTATCACTTCATTTTTAAAACTCTCTCTCCATATATTTACTTCTTCAGTGAAGTATCACTTCATTTTGCAAATTTTCTTTCAGTTTGCCAGATTCCCAAAAGCCAACTGCAAATCTTGAGTGATTCTGAGATACTTTCTAACAGCAGAGCTAAACAGAGTAAGATTTTCAGTTTGACCAAAGAGCGCACAGAAGAATTCACAAGAAACCTAATTGCTTACATACACTCCCATGCACACATTGAAATAATAACTAACATCCACAGAGAAAGCAGCATGACTCACTGATGGCCTAAGCCTGTAAGTCTTGTCCATGGACTAGTACTATAAACATGGTACCATCACAAATATGAATTCTTGGAGTATGACTGTACAATAAAAAGGGAGAAATCTGATGAGACCAGCTTGAAAATTCCAGGTTCAGAAAAGCAGTTTAGCAAGAATAAGCACAGTGTGCTCCATCCTGCATGAATGCACTCTAATGCAGGTGTCTGATAATAGAAGAAGTAGGTAAGTTTTGCTTGTTTTTCATTTACCAGGTTGCTTCTCTCTTTAAAGCATGGCAAAGCTGAAGGCCTGGAACATGTAGAATCTATGAATGAAGTTTAATTTCCAAATGGGAAGGGGTATTTAATAGTCAATACTGCTTATTTTGTAATTACTTCATCTTGAAAGATGACCTTGCAAGAGAAAAAACACTCATGATGCTGATGTTAACAAACAAACAACTTTGTTAGTTTTGTAAAAGGAAAAAAACTGCAATAGGCAATGTATGACTATTGAAGAAACAAATGGGGAAACCAGCCCCACTGCTTTCCTTAACTTCGTTCACCCTCTCTGGTAATTAACCAATAGTCATGGCAAAAAAATCATCTTAGCTGAGTTAGAATTTCAATCATACATAAAAAGATGGTTTGCAAAAGGCACAAAAGTCAATGCCAAACATTAAATATGTGCACAGCTGCATATTGTTCCCCAGTAGCTGCATGCACAGACAATTTCCCCAAGAGTCAGACTGGGGAAAGGAAGATGGGAATCAATGCAAGGGGAATTTCTGGGAAATGTAACCAAACAGCAGCCAGATAAAATGGGTATAATAACCTCTGAAGCACAGGACACTTTCAACTACATTGTTTGCTAGAGCTCAGTGCCGAGATTACAGAAGATTACACACTGAATTCATGGTTTGTACCCATGACAAATAATTACATAAGATGATGAATTATAAGACTATAAATGCATGAGTTTCCAGTGACATCGTTGCAGACCAGGCAACAGTTACTCATGTTATCAGTGGAACTACAAGCTATATTTTAAATTTATGTTATGTATAGAACAATTGCCATGGTGAAGAGCTCAACATAAAATAAAAAAAGTATTTCAGAAGAAAACCAAATCAACTCAACAGGAAGAGGAGAATGTACATGGAATGAAAGAAAATCTTCAAAGTCTTTCAAAGTGACAATGGGAAGTCAGATCAAATCCCTGGTCTCTGAATGTGATAGATACCATAGTTGTATCCATATGCATAAGTCGTAAGACATTTAGAAACTTTCCTAATTGGAAGACAAAGATTACGCACCCAAGAGTTCACCTAATGGAAGTAACCAAGTATGTTAATGCAGTTTCTGAAATTCAGTTATAAGGTAAGTGAATTAGACTGTGCTGAAGACATCTGACTTATCCTCAATATGTGAAGTTCATTCTTATGTAGGAGGAATGGACAAAGCCTAGAAAACCTAGTGTTGAAAGGAAAGGATGCTTAACTGACACACAGGACTCATGTTGACTACTAGTAGAAGAATAACCTTTCCTACGCAGTTTAAAACAACTCTATAGACTTTGCTGGAGTATTATAGTCCCTTTACAAGAGCATAAACATGTCCATAAAAAACATATTCATTCTTTATAACGTTATGCTGGGTTCTTATATGGACATCATCATATGGACTGTATTCAACCCTGGACTTTGAAACGGAGCATACATTTCTCTGCTTCTTTTAAAGAGGAAATGATGGTCACGTGTGATGCTTCACACAATATTATTTTTCAGGTCCTCTGAAATTTCCCTGTATTCCTGTTCAGTTTCTCTTTTTAAGTTTCTTCTATCTTCAAACAGGAAGTCTGTGCTTTCTAGCAGCCATTTGTCCTTCTGGTGCCATCATCATCTGTTATTGATTGATCTCTCAAAATAAGAAAAAAACGTTATCTACACAAAATTAGGCTTACAGGGGTATCTTGCAAACAGCTGGTATAGTATAAGAACCACACTGAATTGGGTCCTATTTTGGAAAATTTTCCTCTTCCTCCCCTTCCCATGCTTCCTCTCCCAGGAGTTCTTGAGGCATCTCTAAAAAAAATACTCCTTTTGACTGCTGACCTTGCAATTACTTATGTTCCAGCTAATTTTAAGCATAAATAGTCCAATGGACTTCAGTTGAAATTACTTGGTTTTCCAATACTCATAAAAAAAATCTGAATTTTCTGTTAGGCAGACACTTTTCACATAAACAAAAAAAGTTTAGAAGTAAAGTATCTGCCAGAGAATTCAGAATCATAGTTGCACCCGGGTGCATAAGTGTCTGCCTGAGAACAGCTTCTATATAGACCTCTTAAACTCTTAAAGATTAGCCTTTAAGAATGCATATTCTGCTTTGCTTTACTTTTAGACATTGTGTTGCACTGGTTAATAAAAACTGTATAGTCATTACTTGGCACATGTTTAAACATTTTAATTTCTTATGACTATTTTATGTGCATACAATAGAACAAAGTAGATTTACAACATCCATGTGAGGGAAGAATAATGATAGTGGTTATCTCCTAATTACGGGAGAGATTTTCAAAAGCACTTTATGGCTAGAATTTCAAGGTGACTTTGTGCATTAAGTTACTCAGGTGCTTTTGCAAACTGTACTTTCAGTGCTCGCAGAATTTTTAAATCGAGTTATAACCTTGCATTCAGAGATTATGCAGAAGTATCAGGTATCTCCCTATAAATTCTCTTTGGAAGATTCTGCCTCTGACAGAAACAGCTGCCTATCACTTGTATGCAGTAGTGACTTGAGGTGTATTTCACTTCAGCTTAATTTAAATGTTTAGTTCATTGTTAACAGCTAATACTAATAGCTCAGGAAGAATAAAGACTGCTAAAAAGGACAAGAGACAACCTTGTTGTGGGATTTTGTAGATGGCCAGGAACAGGTCTTTTGCAGATGAGAAAGTGTAGAGTACAACTGAGAAGCCAGATTAGCAAACGGGACACCGAGTACAAACAAGTTTTAAGTATGAACTGAATAGTCCCATTCTATTCAGTCAAATGCTTTTTCAGCTTCTATCAAGTCATCTGCCGCAGGGGAGTTTCGTTTATTTGCCAGGTGGATAACGTTGCACAGAGCGTTCAGGCATTTTCAAAATCTGTTTTTGACAAATCCCACGTGGGAGGTAGCTATATAATGTGCAGAATTCTTGTTTCTAAGTAATTTAGTTAATACCATGGCAAATATTTTATGATCTAAATTTATGAGAGCAATGATTCAGTAATTACTGCAGACCAAAGGATCACAATCAGGTTTTAGAATGAGAGTAAATTAAAGTTTAATGTAACTGGCCACATTTAGGCTGTTTTTCACAGAAAAGCAATGGACATATCACTGGAGTGGGCCACACCTCCTTCTAAATTACAGCTCCTGACCCCCAAGTGTTAAGGAGTTCTCAACAAAATGACTACAAAAATTATTTTCAAGCCTTCCGAATGCTGTGTCTTTCTTAATTTTAGTCTAATAAAAATAACAGGTGAAATCTGCTAGCACAAACTTTCTGAAAGCAGCGCATCCAAGGAAAACCCTGTATTGGAAGATTTAAGCCTAAATGGTTACAGTCGGAATACATTATAAATAACTGAAAGAAAATTCTTATCAGGTCAGGCAAACTTAGCTACAAATTAGCTCACCAATTTTAATAAAAATAAAAAAGATTAAAAGTAGATAACTGCTAAAGAATTCAGGCAATTCTTTCAAATTTCAATGATGAAGTCAGAGTTCAAGTTTTGAAGCAGCAAGCAAGAAGCATCTGATAAAAACGATGCTCTCTCAGACTGTTAATCATCAGCATCTTTTTGCTCCTAACCTCTGTGTCCTTCAAATACTTCAGGGAAGAAGGACCCCTGCTCTCGCGCTCTCTCTCTTTTTTTTTTTTGATAAAGCATGGTGTAGAGTAATAAACTTTCCCATCTTTAATCTATCGTGGGTATGAGTGCCAAGGTCATGTTTGAAAATGGATATGGGCAGTTAAGCCACTCTGTTTCTCTGCATTTTCAGTTGTGAAGCCTGTTCTCCAGGGACTGTCCCTTATTAATTCATTTTAAGTAAAATAATATATTTCTTATTTATATATTCATCTGGTTTAAATCAATCTGAAGGCTGTTGACACATTTTTTTTTGTACTGGATTAATTATATTGATTTAAAAAATATATTCTTAGCGAGTTTGCAGGAACAATTTTTATGCAGACCAGACAACAAGGTTAATTAGCTACTGTTAAATGCTTTTGGTATCACAATATCACAGCAAGTGGACTGAGACACAGGAAACTTGTATCAGTGACAGCTACAGGAGCGAAGAGAACTGATTATGGCACAAACCATGAAGGAGCTCTCCTACCTATGCAGGAGGGACAAAGGCAAAGGAAGCAGAAACCTTCCAACACACTAATGAATTTCCATCCCCGTTTCTTATCAGGACTTCATTAACATCAAGTAAGAGTCAGAAACAAGGCTGAGGTAGTATTTTAATCTCTAATCCTCCTGACTCAGCAGGACAGTAACATACAGCTCAGAATTAATGGAGACACATGAGAATGTTTGCATTGCAAGAAGGAGACAGCGATAACAGAAGGTGAGAGGTCAAGTCCATTAGCAGAAAATAACATTTTAATTCAGACTGCATTTCAGGAGCGTACCCTATTCCAATGTACCCACAGTTGACTAACCTGCTGCTAAACAACCACCCTATTCAAGGAGGGAGAAAATAGTGGGTGCAGCTCACCATTACTGAGATGAATTATGTTAATCTCCTTTAAGTTTCTAAAAGGGACAATGAGTCAGGAGAATAAAAGGGTTTATTTAGAAAAGGAGCTTTCTATTCACAACTCACCTGAAACTTCTTCTTTGCCACAAAATACTGCATCCTGCGTATCACCTTAATTGCAGCACGGTGGTGTTCTCGCAGCCTGTGGGAAAAACGAGGAAGATGAGTGCGGTGAAAGAACACCTCTATCCAGACAATAAAAATAACAGCCTTCACTAAGTGCTTCACTAACAGATGCACGCATAAAGCAAGTAGTAGCAATTCATCCTGTGAGCAAAACACATTATTATTTTGACCATCCCCACCTTCCAAGAAAGCTATAAAAATCCAGAATTTTATCTGATTTATGTTAGTAAAAAGTAGTGTCCACATCAGCCTCTTCCTAGGTTAAAGTAAACCTCTGCCCATCTTTCCCGGCCTCTTCTTCTCAAAAACCAAGCCTTTAAATTTCTGTGTATTACTGCCAATGCACAGATTTTATACACAAGTCTTATGTAAGATGTTCCTTCACTTACATGAATTTGTTTTTCAAAAATAATAAAAAGATCAATTTAAAGATTTTTCAGTAGTTGACTGCTAAGCAATGCAAATGGTATCGTGCTAGCTGAGTACAACATTTACATACGCTTAAGAGTTCAGTTTGGGGATAAACGTGTATGTAGAGGCAAAACAATCTGGAAGGTCTTTAACCAAGTACCTCTCTCTTTTCATGCACAAACATATGAACTAAAAAGAAAGAATAAAAAAAAAGTTCTCCTTGTACTTTAAAACAACAGATTTCAGAGTTTCTGAGATTAAAATATATTTTAAATAGTTAATTAAGAACAGTGAATTTCTTCAAATTTTCGTTTTTTTAAAGTTTGTAAAAATGACAGCTCTTTCTTCTTAACATTAAAACATCAAGCCAAATACATAATCTGTGCTGATGAGTTATCCTACTTACTCAATTATTACTCTTATAAAGATATGTTTGAACAACCTTATTGCACAAGGTTTCTTTCATTTTAAGAGTATGAACATAGTGTATTTTTAAATTGCTTCCTATGTAGACTTCTAGCGATGGCTCAGAGGAAGTAGCAGTAAGAGCAGAGCTGGTGTTATTTAGATATTCCAAATGCTTTATGCCTATAAATTATTATTAATAATGCTGATAGCCAGGCATACGGAGGTGTTACTAGGCAGTATTTTCCATCTATATTGAACCTGACAGCATTCATACTCACTATGGGATGGAAAAATCCTAACAAAATCCTTTACACGTTTGGGTCTTTGGTATGATACAGAACAGTATTACCCAATCCTCTCTGGTTAAATAAAACCTGATATTCTAGCGAGTATTCACCCATTTCCTCCTGACAAATTTCTTGCAGCAAACAGAAGTTTTGCTTGTGCAAACGGTGGATGGATGTCTGTCTTCTGAGCAGCGTGGCAAGTGTAGCCAGCGCGTTCCCTTCCTGAGCTCACACTTTTCAGAGGGAAAAAACACTTTCTCCAAAAGATACCCAAACTCAACCAAAACAAAGAAACACCCCAAAACAAAACCCACGAGGCCTTCTCATTTTCTGCTTGTAGATATTGCCTCTCAGTTCTTTCTCTTCTTTACAGAAGTTGTTCAAATCTAACAATGACGGAAAAAGATTATTTGCTCTGTAAATTATTACAGAGAAATTTACAGAGAAAATAAATTATGATTACTTTTCAAACTAATAACACACAGCTTTTCAACACAAGTCTACGGATCACTAAGCCTGTTAGTGCACTTCTATAAAATAACTACTCCTCAGGAGCCATGCACCATTCCCCGACTCTCCAGCTGGATTTGTACGGGAAGCCCCTTCCTTCTCACTGCCTTGCTGAAGTCTCCCAAAGAGACTCTGTCCAGCTCTTTGCTCACGCAGGTCTGACTGCAAGATTACAGTTCATGTTATGAGAATGGAAATTCACTCCTTTTAGCTGGGACAGCTGCCTTTTTGGACTGATTCCCAGTGAACTGAGTTAGCCTAATGATAGGTAATGGTATTCTCATCTTGTGATCCCTTGGTGCATCAACTTGCTGCTAGGGACTAGGACAATGTCCATATAGGCAGAGGGAAAGCAAATGTTCTGGGTTTTCAAATTCGGCTTCACAGAACTGGAGCCAAAAGGATAAATGCTATTTAATCTGATATTAAATTTCAAGGGTGTCAGAGTGTGACTTCCATGCACATATATTTTATCCATACTATATATATAAATATGCACAAAAATGTCCTATGACAAGTAGAAATAAGTTTTAACCGCAGTAAAACTGCTTGCAGTATTCTGTTCTATGTCTTGTTTCCTCCAGTGTGTTCTTCACAATCCATTATTTTTCAGTAAAATATTTTTCATGGGCACACGTGGTCACCAGTGAAGTTCACCAAATCCCTCAGTCTCTAGCTAGGTGAAGAGTCTCACCTATAAGCAAGACAGCCGGATAATAAAAATTGTATTCACCATTCAGTAAAGTACTGTCCCACCAAATGACTTTCCAATGCAGCTATTTTAAATCAATCATTGTTCAGTGCTAATGTGAACTTCTATGCCAGGAAGGAAAGTTGATATTCTCTTTTTATTCCTTTAGTTTAAAACTCCAATAGGAAACCTTGCAGTAAACTTGTTTCTGCTTATGCTATAAAAGCTAATTCTGCACAAGAGGCTGTCCTGATTCCCAGAGATTGAATGCTTCTGCAGTGAGTGAAGGGAATAAAGGATTTAATTAGTAGCCAAGGTTATGATTCACAGTTGTTTGATCTCTTTTGCAAACTGGTAACAAATGCTTTAGTAAACGTAGAGCTTAAACATTAACTGGCAATATTTGTTTGTTCAACCACTTGTGATATCTCTAACTTCTAGCCACAGAATGACTGCCTGTAACCTGTGGGGACACACAGCGTGTTTACAACCCAAGAGCCACACAATACATCACCATCCTCAGAGCAATATTTTCATGAGTACTTTTAAGAGCGTGGAGGGAAATTACATCATCTGAGAGTGCTCCTAGAAATAGGCAGCGACATACCTCCGAGTGTGTCTGAGCCAGACTGCGCAAAGCAAGCGAGAGACACCCTTTGGAGAGTTTCTTCTGCACAGACCAGCTCTGCACCGAGAGCAAACTGCTGCCTGGCGCCTGCTCCCTCCTGCAGCCCTTGCACGCTGCAGGAACCGCAGCTTGCCCATGCCAGCTCGGCCACAGGCCTCATCCTCCAGCTCCAGAAAAACTTGCAAGCATCTCCTGCTGGTAGCATAAAGTAGGGCTACGCAGGACAGCAGTTTAGGCTAGAGCTGGGTGATTACGAATCAGGGAGGCTTTCCCCTCTCAGGCTCTGGCATCACAGAAACACAGAACGGTTGAGGTTGGCAGGGACCTCTGGAGATCATCTAGTTCAAACCCTTGGCTCAAGCAGAGCCACCTAGAGCACATTGCCCAGGATTGTGTCCAGACGGCTTTTGAACGCTTCCAAGGATGGAGGCTCCATACTCCTGATGGCATGCTTATTTCCACATAGCCGGGGGAGCAAAGCTCTCTTGCAAATCAGTCTCCACTTCTTAGAAGTTTAGTTCTATCTAACTTTGGTAGAAAGCTTGTGTGATAAGTGCATTAACAACAGGGTCAAGAGATATGGTTTTGTCCACCCCTTTTTAATGGGGCTATTTTCCTCTCACGAATGTTCATCAAGCCTAGAGTCTCGTCAACCCATTCATTTCACAGTAACCTACATCTGAAGTGACTGTCAATCACCAGTTAACTGTTCTGAATAATCATTAGCCTATTACCTGAAGAATAAGCTTAAGTAGTTTTATGCCAGTAAAAATCAGGCTAAACATTACTGCTTCTGGCATTAGACAGCATCCCAGCATGCACTTTGCCAAATAAAAGTTTTTTTTTCTTTTTTTCCAAGTAATATCTCATAATTTTTTTTGTTTCAGTGGATTGCATGTCAGTGAAAAACAGCCCAAACAGATAAAACATCCTTCCCACTTCACAGGTGGTGAGGCAATGCGAGCACCACACATTTTAGGGTCCCCATGCCAGTTTTAGGATCGGTTCAGAGAGGGGTAGAAAGACCATTAAAGTTTGGATGTTCATTTGGGTGTCAGCCGTATCATTAGAAATATCTGTTGCAATGACAGGCTGGGACCAAGCCCAACTCCTACACAGCTTGCTGAACTAATTGCTAATACCTGTCACTGGCTACCAATAAACTTCTCTCTCTATAGGAATAGGACATCAAGATCATCCTCAACACAGAACGCATTGCACGACGCTTCCACTGAGCTTAAACTCTCTGAATTCTCTTCTAAAGCTGCCAACGAAACGGTGAAATGGGCACAAGCCACAGGAGTTATCCAGAAGGGTTAAGGAGGGTGTAACAACCGATCAGTAACCCAAAACCATCCTGGCAAGAGGAGGCCAGTAGTTTAACACAAACCTAAATTACTTACATTTTGGCACTTATGAAGCAAACTTTGTTTGTTTGTGCACTGAAAAAGTCACCTTTTGCTGGTGCAGGCACTCCCGAAAGGAATTAGAATAAAGAAACCCTGCAAAACAATGCAATGTGCTGAGCACCCACATTGCAAAAAAAAACAAAAAAAACCAACCAAACAAACAACAAACCACACCAACTCCCTGACAGAATAAAATGATTAGAAATCATTAGTTTTTCCTCCCCTCTTTTAGGGTCTTTCGTCTACAACAAACCATTTGGAGGAAACCTGATCTCTTCGCCTGCCCCAAACTATTGCACAAGAACCATTTGTATATTTGGTTGCAGTACATATACGTACATATTTTTAACAACTCGGCCAGTCAAAACCTCAATACGTTTTGAAAGGTATGACTCATTCTACGGTCCTACATTCGCAGACAGCCATTGTGAACGTCACAGGATTCAGCATCCGCCCGCAGCTCCAGTTGCTGACCTGGGTTACTGCGAAGGGATCTGCAAGGCTACGCCACAGGAATGCTTCCCAGCCCCGGGATTAGAACGATTCGCAGGACAGACGTGTCTTTTTTAACTCCAAAAGCAAGTGGTTTTCCAAAAAGGAAGCAAATAGTTACACGGGTTGGTTGTTTTGTGTTTCAAGGAAAATATCGACTGGGGTAGGGTAGGGTGAACT